ATACTTCCTGAATGAAAAGTCAACTAATATTAGACAAATGTGAAGAAGTTAAACTTTAAACATCCATAACTTAAACACTTTATCCAGGATCAAAGCCACATAGCTGCACCTGCAAGGTGAATACAGCTGGTAAAAGAAAAAGCGTTTGAATGCGTACATTAACAGGTTTATGATATCACTGCCCCGTCCAAGACACGATCTGACTTTAATTACATTTGACTCGAGTGTTTCGTCAACTTAATGTGTTAAAATAATACTTCTGCATACAGTATGTGACACTGTGAGTGTTGCACGGCCAGATACGGCTCAAGAAGCTGACTCAGATAAGGAAATATATGAAACATTATGATGTGATATGATATGAATGATAATGGGACACATCGACGTCTGCACTCACAGTGCCGCGGACTGTACTTAATGTTACTCTGATCCGGTTACTTATGTTGTGGCAGATATTTAAGTAAGCTTTCTTAACGCTAATGTTATAATAGTCAGATTGCTCTGAAGATGGGAGGGGATATTCTATTCATTTTCACGTTCACACAGTCGGTGATTTTGGCCGGCCGTCTTTCCTGCAACGGCAGTTTAAACTCTATTTCCTTTCTCCTCCTGTCATATGAATTGATCGCTTTAAACTCTGCACACTGAGCTCTGATTGGTCAGTAGGCAGTGCTTTTATCCTGGAACCTATCCTGCTCCGGAGGCTAGCCGTTCAGAATAAGTTATCTAGCCTGCTAAAAAGTGAACCAGCTTCGTAGGACCGGAAACCCCTGAAGTTAGCTTGCTTCGTAGTATAGGCCCCAGCTGATGGTCATGTGACTCCACTGGTTTCCCTTCTAGCATGTTCTCCTGTTTCACCCAAACCTCAACACAGTCTTCTTGAGTTTCCAACTAGAATGGTTTCTTATAGGAGTCTCTTATTGTGAAAATCTGTAAACTATAATCAGGTTTTTTCTTAGTAGACTCTTATTTTGAAAAACCCATGTTGAATCAAGCACAACAAACTGAACCAGGATCTGTTTTATGATGGTCGCTTTATTTTCTATTCTGTTTCACAAAACATCAACACAGCTTTCTGAGAGTCCAACACCTCTTATACTTCTTCTGAGTGTATGCAGTGTGTGTGTGTGTGTGTGTGTGTGTGTGTGTGTGTGTGTGTGTGTGTGTGTGTGTGTGTGTGTGTGGTGTGTGTGTGTGTGTGTGTGTGTGTGTGTGTGTGTGTGTGTGTGTGTGTGTGTGTGTGTGTGTGTCTGTGTCTGTGTGAGTGTGTGTGTGTGTGTGTGTGTGTGTGTGTGTGTGTGTGTGCGTGCGTGTGTGTGTGTGTGTGCTGTTACATGGCAGGGATTGAGCTGTGACTAATATGCTCCAATCAAAAATCATTAACAATCTACTCGTGTGATCAAATCAACAACAACACAAGTTAAATGCAACGATTCCATCCACCTGATCAACAACAACACTGACTGTGAGCATGTGTGTGTGTCTGTCTGTGTGTGTGTGTGTGTGTGTGCGTGTTTGTGTGTCTGTGTGTGTGTGTGTGGGGCCATATGGTTTGGAGAGCAATAACTTGAGCAGCCTCCAACAAAGGGGTAATTGAGGAGCGGAGGCTGAGTCTTGACTCGACAAAGCTGAGAAAACTCTTCTTTCAGGGTCCCTTGGAGTCTTTCAGCCCTAATGAAGCTGTTGTCTGGGGGAGTGTTTGGGGGGGGGCGCCTGGACGTGATTTGTCATACAATCTGAATCTTTAGGCCGGCAGAGAGACCTCCTCCCCATATGTCTGCTTCGTTTGCATCTGAAAGCTGGAGGAGTGGGGGGGGGGGTCATCAGGCTGGAGGGTGCATCAGAATGAGGCGGTGTTCAAGAGACATAGAAACCTATATATCTGACAGAGAAGAAGAAATAAATAAACAACATTCTTCAGCCAGATTCACAAAGAATGGTTTTATTGTGAAAATCCTGTGTTGAATGAGCCTATCAAACTGAACCAGGATCAGGCGTCTCTTATTGTGAAAATCCTGTGTTGAATGAGCCTATCAAACTGAACCGGGATCAGGCGTCTCTTATTTTGAAAATCCTGTGTTGAATGAGCCTATCAAAGTGAACCAGGATCAGACATCTCTTATTGTGAAATCCTGTGTTGAATGAGCCTATCAAACTGAACCGGGATCAGGCGTCTCTTATTGTGAAAATCCTGTGTTGAATGAGCCTATCAAACTGAACCGGGATCAGGCGTCTCTTATTGTGAAAAAAGGTCTAAAATCAGCCTTAAAAACTAAACTCTAATCAGGTTTTCTCTTAAAGTAGTCTCTTATTGTGAAAAACACAATGTTGAATGAAGTCTTACAAACTGATAAAGTTATTTTATTGTGAAAAGCCTGTCTTATATAAGCTAATAAACTGAGCCAGCATCAGATAAAGAAGCCTCTTATTGTGAAAAGCCAGTGTTGAATGAGCCAGTCCCTTCAAAGTAGTCTCTTATTGTGAAAAGCCTCTCTTTAGTGAACATTAAAACTGAACTAGGATCAGTCTGTTTCTTAAAGTAGTCTCTTATTGTAATCCTGTGTTGAATGAACCAGGATCAGGGGATATCAATCAATCTCTTATTGTGAAAAGCTTCTCCTGAATGACCCACTGAACCAGAATGGAGTCTCTTATTGGGAAAAACTGTCTAAAATGAGCCTTAAAAAAATCAACTTTAATCAGCTTTTCTCTAAAAGTAGACTCTTATTTTGAAAAGCTTGTGTTGATTGACCCAGAGAAGCTGAACTAGGATCAGTCTGTTTCACACAGAAGACTCTTATTGTGAAAATCCTGTCTAAAATGAACATTAAAACTGAACTAGGATCAGTCTGTTTCTTAAAGTAGCCTCTTATTGTGAAAACCCCGTCTTGAATGACCCTATGAAACTGAACCAGGATCAGCCAGTCCCTCAAAGTAGTCTCTTATTGTGAAAAGCCTCTCTTTAATGAGCCTATCAAACTGAACCAGGATCAGCTAGTCCCTCAAAGCAGTCTCTTATTGTGAAACGCCTCTCTTTAATGAGCCTATCAAACTGAACCAGGATCAGCCAGTCCCTCAAAGTAGTCTCTTATTGTGAAAAGCCTCTCTTAATGAGCCTATCAAACTGAACCAGGATCAGCTAGTCCCTCAAAGCAGTCTCTTATTGTGAAAAGCCTCTCTTTAATGAGCCTATCAAACTGAACCAGGATCAGCCAGTCCCTCAAAGAAGTCTCTTATTGTGAAAATACCTTCTTTAATGAGCCTATCAAACTGAACCAGGATCAGCCAGTCCCCTCAAAGAAGTCTCTTATTGTGAAAATACCTTCTTTAATGAGCCTATCAAACTGAACCAGGATCAGCCAGTCCCTCAAAGAAGTCTCTTATTGTGAAAATACCTTCTTTAATGAGCCTATCAAACTGAACCAGGATCAGCCAGTCCCTCAATGAAGTCTCTTATTGTGAAAATACCTTCTTTAATGAGCCTATCAAACTGAACCAGGATCAGCCAGTCCCTCAAAGAAGTCTCTTATTGTGAAAATACCTTCTTTAATGAGCATACAAACTTGAAAATCATAAATGAGTGTTTTATTTTGGAAAGCTTTATTGACCGAGACAAACTGGTCCAGCATCAGCCAGTTTCATAAATGAGTCTTTTATTTTGAAAAACCCTTGTAGATACTTCTTGCAGAAAAATTCAATTGGAAATCGCCTCTAAATGTTGTTTTGATGACATTTGCATGATTGTGTTTATTTCTCTGTCGTCCAGACACTTACACATTAATCTGAATTACCCCCAAAATGAATCTGAACAATCACAGAGTTTAAATCACGTGAGATTTGAGGAGATTTGTTGAGATTTGTGCAAAAAAACACATCAGATTTGGTCCAGTTTCTGCTGCACGGCTGCTCTGTGGAGGCATTCAGACTCTGAGGATGATGATGATGATGATGAAGATGACGAAGATGATGATGGTGATGATGAAGGTGATGCTGCAGATGGAGGGAGGGGGGGTGGGGGTGGGGGGGGGTCATGACCTCTGTGTCTCTGCAGACATCTGTAGCTGCTGCACATTCCCTGACGTCCAATCAGAGCTCTGCAAGAATGTGTGACCTGCAACCCCCAAGCCCCGCCCTGAACCCTGACACACACACACACACACACACACACACACACACCACACACACACACACACCACACACACACACACACACACACACACACACACACACACACCACACACACACACACACACACACACACACACACACACACACACACACACACACACACACCCCCTGTGGGTTAACATTGATCTCTGGGAAAATATATAAATATATAAAGAGTGGACGGTGTTCTGCAGCCTTTATCATAGAGGAGGCTCTTATTTTGAAAAACCTCTCTCTAATGAGTCTGAGAAACAGAACCAGCCTTTATCACAGATGAGGCTCTTATTTTGAAAAACCTTCCTTAAATGAGCCCAGCAAACTGTACCAGAATCAGTCTGATTTAAAAGTGAGTCTTTTATTGTGAAAAGCCTCCCCTCTGCTGCTGCTGCACTGACCCTGAAAGCACCTGTCAGATAAAAGGTCATAAATAGCCATGAGTGAAATCTGGTGAGTCAACAGCGCCCTCTGCTGGACAACAACCGGAAGTGATGGTGGAGAAATCAGCAGATATTAAACATTATAAAAATGAATAAAGCATTTAAAAAATATACAAAAAGTGAAAAGTAATTTAGAATGTTTGAATATATAGAAAATGGAAAAATAAAATACAGAATAAATAAAAGTTCCGGGTGTGTCACAGTGATATGAGTCCGTCGCTCAGAAACAATGCAATAAAACCTTTAAAGTAAAATAAATATTATTGATATAATTAAAAAATAACCAGGTTGAATGCTTTATACAGTTCTTCATGTTGATCTAAACCCTGAGGCAGGAGATGTGATTTTAAAACAAATATAAATAAAATAAATAACGGTTTCGGTGAGCACAGCTTCCTGTTCCCTCTGTGTCACACTGATATCGTTCCGTCGCTCAGCCTCGCAGTGCATCACCATGTTTTCGGGTCTGAGAGAGAAAGTGGGCCAGGTTCTGGTTCCGGGAGATGAGTTCAGTCTGGAGGTCCAGGAGACCCTCTCTCTCACGGAGCCCCTGAAGCCGGAGAAGGTGCTCCTCGGCCCGGGTCTGAAGAGGAGAGGAGACCGGAAGCTGCTGGTGGTGAAGAGCGGCGTGCTGAGACACAAACAGCCCCACGTGTTCTGGGTGGAAAACCATCAGAGGAGGGTGAGTACTTATATATACTCTGTGTACAAGTACATACAAACAGCCCCACGTGTTCTGGGTGGAAAACCATCAGAAGAGGGTGAGTACTTATATATATACTCTGTGTACAAGTACATACAAACAGCCCCATGTGTTGTGGGTGGAGAGCCATCAGAGGAGAGTGAGTACATATAATAATACACACTCACACTGTGTACAAGTACATACACACTCTGTGTACAAGTACATACACACTCTGTACAAGTACATATACAAATACATATATATATACACAAGTAGAAGTACACATATCTTGTATTTGAGTAGAAGTACTCAGATCTTGTCCTCAGTGTGTCCTTCTGTCCTCAGTGTGTCTTTCTGTCCTCAGTGTCCTTCTGTCTGTCCTCAGTGTGTCTTTCTGTCCTCAGCGTGTCCTTCTGTCCTCAGTCTGTCCTTCTGTCTGTCCTCTGTGTCTTTCTGTCCTCAGTATGTCCTTCTGTCCTCGGTGTGTCTTTCTGTCCTCAGTATGTCCTTCTGTCTGTCCTCAGTGTGTCTTTCTGTCCTCAGTGTGTCCTTCTGTCTGTCCTCAGTGTGTCCTTCTCTCCTCAGTATGTCCTTCTGTCTGTCCTCAGTGTGTCCTTCTGTCCTCAGTCTGTCCTTCTGTCTGTCCTCAGTGTGTCCTTCTCTCCTCAGTATGTCCTTCTGTCCTCAGTGTGTCTTTCTGTCCTCAGTGTCCTTCTGTCTGTCCTCAGTGTGTCTTTCTGTCCTCAGCGTGTCCTTCTGTCCTCAGTGTGTCTTTCTGTCCTCAGTATGTCCTTCTGTCTGTCCTCAGTGTGTCTTTCTGTCCTCAGTGTGTCCTTCTGTCTGTCCTCAGTGTGTCCTTCTCTCCTCAGTATGTCCTTCTGTCTGTCCTCAGTGTGTCCTTCTGTCCTCAGTCTGTCCTTCTGTCTGTCCTCAGTGTGTCCTTCTCTCCTCAGTATGTCCTTCTGTCCTCAGTGTGTCTTTCTGTCCTCAGTGTCCTTCTGTCTGTCCTCAGTGTGTCTTTCTGTCCTCAGCGTGTCCTTCTGTCCTCAGTGTCCTTCTGTCTGTCCTCAGTGTGTCTTTCTGTCCTCAGCGTGTCCTTCTGTCCTCAGTGTGTCTTTCTGTCCTCAGTATGTCCTTCTGTCTGTCCTCAGTGTGTCTTTCTGTCCTCAGTGTGTCCTTCTGTCTGTCCTCAGTGTGTCCTTCTCTCCTCAGTATGTCCTTCTGTCTGTCCTCAGTGTGTCCTTCTGTCCTCAGTCTGTCCTTCTGTCTGTCCTCAGTGTGTCCTTCTCTCCTCAGTATGTCCTTCTGTCCTCAGTGTGTCTTTCTGTCCTCAGTGTCCTTCTGTCTGTCCTCAGTGTGTCTTTCTGTCCTCAGCGTGTCCTTCTGTCCTCAGTGTCCTTCTGTCTGTCCTCAGTGTGTCTTTCTGTCCTCAGTATGTCCTTCTGTCCTCGGTGTCCTTCTGTCTGTCCTCAGTATGTCCTTCTGTCTGTCTTTCTGTCCTCAGTCTGTCCTTCTGTCCTCAGTCTGTCCTTCTGTCCTCAGTCTGTCCTTCTGTCTGTCCTCAGTGTGTCCTTCTCTCCTCAGTATGTCCTTCTGTCCTCAGTGTGTCCTTCTCTCCTCAGTGTGTCTTTCTGTCCTCAGCGTGTCCTTCTGTCCTCAGTCTGTCCTTCTGTCTGTCCTCTGTGTCTTTCTGTCCTCAGTATGTCCTTCTGTCCTCGGTGTGTCTTTCTGTCCTCAGTATGTCCTTCTGTCTGTCCTCAGTGTGTCTTTCTGTCCTCAGTGTGTCCTGTCTGTCCTCAGTGTGTCCTTCTCTCCTCAGTATGTCCTTCTGTCTGTCCTCAGTGTGTCCTTCTGTCCTCAGTCTGTCCTTCTGTCTGTCCTCAGTGTGTCCTTCTCTCCTCAGTATGTCCTTCTGTCCTCAGTGTGTCTTTCTGTCCTCAGTGTCCTTCTGTCTGTCCTCAGTGTGTCTTTCTGTCCTCAGCGTGTCCTTCTGTCCTCAGTGTGTCTTTCTGTCCTCAGTATGTCCTTCTGTCTGTCCTCAGTGTGTCTTTCTGTCCTCAGTGTGTCCTTCTGTCTGTCCTCAGTGTGTCCCTTCTCTCCTCAGTATGTCCTTCTGTCTGTCCTCAGTGTGTCCTTCTGTCCTCAGTCTGTCCTTCTGTCTGTCCTCAGTGTGTCCTTCTCTCCTCAGTATGTCCTTCTGTCCTCAGTGTGTCTTTCTGTCCTCAGTGTCCTTCTGTCTGTCCTCAGTGTGTCTTTCTGTCCTCAGCGTGTCCTTCTGTCCTCAGTGTCCTTCTGTCTGTCCTCAGTATGTCCTTCTGTCTGTCCTCAGTGTGTCTTTCTGTCCTCAGTCTGTCCTTCTGTCCTCAGTCTGTCCTTCTGTCCTCAGTCTGTCCTTCTGTCCTCAGTCTGTCCTTCTGTCTGTCCTCAGTGTGTCCTTCTCTCCTCAGTATGTCCTTCTGTCCTCAGTGTGTCCTTCTCTCCTCAGTGTGTCCTTCTGTCCTCAGTGTGTCCTTCTGTCATCAGTGTGTCCTTCTGTCCTCAGTATGTCCCGGCTAAAGGAGAGACGATCATTGGAATCATTACGGTCAAATCCGGAGACGTCTTCAAGCTGGACTTTGGAGGAAGTGAGCAGGCGTCTCTGTCCTACCTGGCTTTTGAGGGAGCGACCAAGAGGAACCGTCCAAATGTCCAGGTGAGACACTAGAGACAGGAAGTTTAGGTGAGACAGTGAGGACAGGTGAGTCACTAGAGACAGGAAGTTTAGGTGAGACAGTTAGGACAGGTGAGACACTAGAGACAGGAAGTTTAGGTGAGACAGTGAGGACAGGTGAGACACTAGAGACAGGAAGTTTAGGTGAGACAGTGAGGACAGGTGAGACACTAGAGACAGGAAGTTTAGGGTGAGACAGTGAGGACAGGTGAGACACTAGAGACAGGAAGTTTAGGTGAGACAGTGAGGACAGGTGAGACACTAGAGACAGGAAGTTTAGGTGAGACAGTGAGGACAGGTGTCACGGAGGTGGTCTTTGGGCCCATAGATCTCGGCCTCCGTTACGGGTTGTATAGATTCATTGTTGTTGATTGTGTTCACCTGGTGCCCTGTGTTGTCTCCTCCCCCCTCACCTGTGTTGTCTCCTCCCCCCTCACCTTTGTTGTCTCCTCCCCCCTCACCTGTGTTGTCTCCTCCCCCCTCACCTGTGTTGTCTCCTCCCCCTCACCTGTGTTGTCTCCTCCCCCCTCACCTGTGTTGTCTCCTCCCCCCTCACCTGTGTTGTCTCCTCCTCCCCCCTCACCTGTGTTGTCTCCTCCCCCCTCACCTGTGTTGTCTCCTCCCCCTCACTTGTGTTGTCTCCTCCCCCCTCACCTGTGTTGTCTCCTCCCCCCTCACCTGTGTCTTGTTGGTTGATTAGTCTGTGGGTATTTGGGCTCTGTGTTTCCTGTTAGTGTGTGTGAGATCCTTGTTGCTGGTGACTGTGTTCACATGAGACAGTAAGATTGAGGCTGTGGGTGTTTCTCAATTGCGAGTAAAGCTGCTTCAGAGCCACTATTTCAAGCATACTACGTCATCGAGTGCCGCCGAAGTACTGTTCCAATGTCCAGCATACTTGGAAATCTACCGAGCCCGGCGTACTCTGTTTGGAGAAATATCGAGGCTGCACATGAGTAGACCTCCGCGGTCTTAAAATCCCCACAATGCTTTGCGCACGGACCAATTTCCAAAATCTCTGGCGGAAAATGTAAGGCGGGGCCTCTCATATGACGCACACTTGCACACTTGCTAGCCTGTTCCACTCTTTGTTTTCCAAATGTCAGGAAGTATTCTTGACTGTATTCTTGACTGCTGGGACTCCCAGCAGCTTCTACTGAAGCCTTCCGAGTAAATCGCCAGAACGCCGACACCTCCTCATCTCCACCGCTCCCATGTTTTGTTTTGTGTTGCCATAAGTTAGTCTCTCTGCGTTTGTGCGCTGGGCGAATGCTAATGCTAATAATGCTAATGCGAGGATAATAAAATGGCGGCTCTACAAAACATTTCAGAGTTTTACGGGGCGTGGTTTGCAATTCGCCCAGCCAATCAGAACTGGGGCACTTTTTTCCCCCAGGAAAGTACCATCTCTCAGCAGGCACTAAAAATGGGGGTAAAAGTTCCCGGCACTAAGTACTCTTTTTGGTGTGAACGTGACATAAGGGGTACTAACGGAACTAAACGCGAAAAGTACTCCGGTGTGAACGCGGCTCAGGTCAGACTCTAAGGACAGGAAGTACTGGTGAGACAGTGAGATTCTTGTTACGGTATTAAATTGTCAAACTAAGCAGATAGTAATCATAGTAATCTAAAAAGGTAAATATTGCGCAACAGTGGTGCTCCTGTTAATGTGTGACTCCTCCCCCTCCTCTGTGTACAGGTGGGCGACCTGGTGTTTGCTCAGTTCATTGTAGCCAATCAGCACATGGAGCCTGAGCTGGTGTGTGTGGACAGCGCTGGGAGAGCCAATGGGCTTGGAGTATTTGGAGCGGGGGGGGCTGCTGTTCAGCGTCTCTCTGGGACTCGTCAGGAGGTGAGTGGAAATCACTGCATTATTACTCATTTAATTAGTTAATACATATTTTATATCACTTTAAATAGACACAGTATCGGAGTAACATAATTATATCAGAGTGAGCGACGACGTGTCTGAGTGTGACGTGTCTGAGAGTGACGTAGAGTGACGTGTCTGAGAGTGACGTAGAGTGATGTATCAGAGTGTGACGTGTCTGAGAGTGACGTATCTTAGAGTGACGTGTCTGAGAGTGACGTAGAGTGACGTGTCTGAGAGTGACGTGTGACGTATCTGAGTGTGACGTGTCTGAGAGTGACGTATCTGAGAGTGACATATCTGAGATTGACGTAGAGTGACGTGTCTGAGAGTGACGTAGAGTGATGTATCCGAGTGTGACGTGTCTGAGAGTGACGTATCTTAGAGTGACGTGTCTGAGAGTGACGTGTGACGTGTCTGAGAGTGACGTAGAGTGACGTGTCTGAGAGTGACGTAGAGTGACGTGTCTGAGAGTGACGTAGAGTGACGTGTCTGAGAGTGACGTGTGACTTGTCTGAGAGTGACATATCTGAGAGTGACGTATCTGAGTGTGAGCGTGTATTTGTAGCTGAAGTGAGCGTGTAGCTGAAGTGAGCGTGTAGCTGAAGTGAGCGTGTAGCTGAAGTGAGCGTGTAGCTGAAGTGAGCGTGTAGCTGAAGTGAGCGTGTAGCTGAAGTGAGCGTGTAGCTGAAGTGATCGTGTAGCTGTAGCTGAAGTGATCGTGTAGCTGTAGCTGAAGTGAGCCTGTAGCTGAAGTGATCGTGTAGCTGAAGTGATCGTGTAGCTGAAGTGATCGTGTAGCTGAAGTGATCGTGTAGCTGAAGTGAGCCTGTAGCTGAAGTGATCGTGTAGCTGTAGCTGAAGTGAGCGCGAGGTTGTAGCTGAAGTGAGCGCGTAGCTGAAGTGAGCGCGTGGCTGTAGCTGAAATGAGCGCGAGGTTGTAGCTGAAGTGAGCGCGTGGCTGTAGCTGAAGTGAGCGCGTGGCTGTAGCTGAAGTGAGCGCGTGGCTGTAGCTGAAGTGAGCGCGTGGCTGTAGCTGAAGTGAGCGCGTGGCTGTAGCTGAAGTGAGCGCGAGGCTGTAGCTGAAGTGAGCGCGTGGCTGTAGCTGAAGTGAGCGCGTGGCTGTAGCTGAAGTGAGCGCGTGGCTGTAGCTGAAGTGAGCGCGTGGCTGTAGCTGAAGTGAGCGCGTGGCTGTAGCTGAAGTGAGCGCGAGGTTGTAGCTGAAGTGAGCGCGTGGCTGTAGCTGAAGTGAGCGCGAGGTTGTAGCTGAAGTGAGCGCGTAGCTGAAGTGAGCGCGTGGCTGTAGCTGAAGTGAGCGCGTGGCTGTAGCTGAAGTGAGCGCGTGGCTGTAGCTGAAGTGAGCGCGTGGCTGTAGCTGAAGTGAGCGCGTGGCTGTAGCTGAAGTGAGCGCGTAGCTGAAGTGAGCGCGAGGCTGTAGCTGAAGTGAGCGCGTGGCTGTAGCTGAAGTGAGCGCGTGGCTGTAGCTGAAGTGAGCGCGTGGCTGTAGCTGAAGTGAGCGCGTGGCTGTAGCTGAAGTGAGCGGGTGGCTGAAGTGAGTGCGTAGCTGAAGTGAGCGCGTGGTGAGCGCGTGGCTGTAGCTGAAGTGAGCGCGTGGCTGTAGCTGAAGTGAGCGCGTGGCTGTAGCTGAAGTGAGCGCGTGGCTGTAGCTGAAGTGAGCGCGTGGTTGTAGCTGAAGTGAGTCTGTAGTTGTAGCTGAAGTGAGTCTGTAGCTGAAGTGAGCGCGAGGTTGTAGCTGAAATGAGCGCGTAGCTGAAGTGAGCGCGTGGTTGTAGCTGAAGTGAGCGCGTGGTTGTAGCTGAAGTGAGTCTGTAGTTGTAGCTGAAGTGAGTCTGTAGTTGTAGCTGAAGTGAGTCTGTAGTTGTAGCTGAAGTAACCCTCAGAGCCAGGATCAGGGTATTAAAGGGAAATCATCACAGGATCTTTATCTTAATATCCCTCCTCCTCCTCCAGGCTGCTCCGCCCCCGCAGTGACGTCCTCTCCGACCTGCAGAAGCTGTTCCCCTGCGAGCTCGTGGTGGGGATGAACGGCCGTCTGTGGGTGAAGGCGAGCAGCGTCCAGCAGACGCTCATCATCTGCAACCTGCTGCAGAGCTGTGAAACCATGACAACCGCCCAGAGGCAGCAGCTGTTCAGGAGGGCGGCGCAGGGGGCGCTGTAGGGACTACTTTCTGACCGGGTGGGACTACTTTCTGTCCGGGACTGCTTTCTGACCGGGAGGGAATACTTTCTGACCGGGAATACTTTCTGACTGGGAGGGACTACTTTCTGACCAGGAGGGACCGCTTTCTGACCGGGAGGGACTACTTTCTGACCGGGAGGGAATACTTTCTGACCGGGAATACTTTCTGACTGGGAGGGACTACTTTCTGACCAGGAGGGACTGCTTTCTGACCGGGAGGGAATACTTTCTGACCGGGAGGGACTACTTTCTGACGTATTCCTGTCCAGGATTGTCTGATGTCGTGTGGAAGAAAAAAGACTGCAAACCCCGGACGGTGTAAAAAAATTATAACTTTTTTTATAATTCCTGAGTTTTCCACGAGGTGTCGAACTTTTTCTTCGTTTTGGCCTCGGCTCACGGCCAATCAAACTGCAGACATTCATAAACAAACGTTTCTCACACAAGTCTTAGTGGTTTTTATTATGAATGCATTATACTTCTGAATTAACCGCCGTAGCCACAGTTTGCTGACGTCGGCGACTTTTTAACTTCACAGAACTAGTTAAAAAAAAGTATAAATATAATAATATCAATACTTGGATTGATTTACTTCAACATACAGTTTACTGCTAATGGAGTATTTAATAAATAAAGGCTTCTTCCTGCTACACAGAGACATATCAGTTCATCTCTGTCAGGTTTCAAATAGTGGGATGTTTGCTATCATCTGCACATTAGTTATTGGTGTATAGAAAGAGAGATTGTCTTCAGTGTGATGTAACCCGGTCAGAGAGAAACTCTCTTTCTCTTGGAAATTAAGAAGAATTTTCGGTCCAATCTCTAAAAGAAAAATGACCATGTGGCAAAAATGTTTTCTCAGTTCTCGATTTGGAGATTTTCAGGGAAAAATGTAAATGTTCCTCAGAATTCACAGACAGACAGTTAGAGAGACAGACAGAGAGAGAGACAGACAGAGAGAGAGAGACAGATAGTTAGAGAGACAGACAGACAGAGACAGAGAGACCGACAGAGAGACAGACAGACAGAGAGACCGACAGAGAGACAGACAGACAGACAGACAGTTAGAGAGACAGAGAGACAGACAGATAGTTAGAGAAACAGACAGTTAGAGAGACAGACAGACAGACAGTTAGAGAGAGACAGACAGACGGAGAGACAGACAGAGAGACAGACAGAACTCAGACTATTTTCATTTTTTTTAAATACTTTTTCCACAAATTCTCATAATTCTGACTTTTTCTCAGAAAGTTTAGTTTTTCTTCAGAACTCAGATTTATAAACTAATCTATGGATTATTTGATAAGAAAAACCCACTTTGAATAAAGCACTGCAGAGGAAGCACTCTTTGAATAAAGCACACTGCAGAGGAAGCACTCTTTTTCTCCATAAACATTTATTTTCATTAAGAAAAAATAGATATTTTTTTTACAACTTTTCTTCTTTATATGACTTTTTATACAGTATTTTATGTGCATTTAGAAAAAACAACAAACAAACGTCAGTCAATGAGGCAGCAGAGGGTCCGACACACAGGATTCTGGGACAAACTCAAACAACAACGTCTGAGATCTGAACACGTTTGTAAATAAAAGTGCAAATAACAGCTGATTGTAACAGAAAGCAGTTTGTTCTTAAAGCTTCAACTCAGAGGGTCTACATTCAGAGAGACAGGTGTTCTGCAGTAACTTTGGCACTCGGGGGGGTCACATGACGTGTCTCTGGGTCACATGACGTGTCTCTGGGTCACATGACGTGTTTCTGGATGCCCGGGGTGAACTCCTTGGCGTTGGGGTTCAGACGGCTGTAGATCTGAGGAGGAGAGAGAGTCTTCAGACCGAGGTTCAAAATACATTAAATAATATTCAGAGCTGAGGGAGGAGGATACTGGATTGTCCGGCGGTCCCTGAACTCACCGGGTAGTCTGCGTCTTTGTGGACGTCTGATTGGATCGCCTGGAGGAGGGGGAGCTCTGATTGGATCCCCTGGAGGTGGGGGAGGTCTCTGGAGGGGATGAAGCTCTCTCTCTCCTCCTCTTCCTCCCAAAGCTCCTCGAAACAGCGCTCGATGAAGTCCTCCTCCCTCAGCTGCTCCTCCACCTGCACAACAACAACAACAACAACAGGTAAACATAGGGCTGAGCAGTCTGCAGTGGACGCGACATGTTGAGACCCCAAAGTGTTCTGATAGACATGTAGGGTCTCCAGCACAGAGAGACAGCCGGATGCTGACCTGCACGCTGGGACATTGACACAGAGTAAGTTGAGTTAATGAGCATTTGGATCATTGAGCAGTGCTATTGGAGGTTATTGGCGGTTATTGAGGACGCTGAATCCATCTCTGACATTTACAGGATCATAAATGGCTGTTGTTAGTCCCTGAAACTGAACAGGTGGAGCCAGAATGATGATCTGAATCGGTCCACAGAGAGCACAGATATGTCTTTCTGGTTAAAACGGCCATATATAAATCTGGACAATGTGAAAAATGGATTCAGTCTTCTTCTTCCGCCTCCTCCTCTTCCTCTTCCTCACCTGTTGGTTAAACTCCTCCTCTTCCTCTTCCTCACCTGTTGGTTGAACTCCTCTTCATGCTCCATCCAGAGGAATTCAGCGAATGGTTCTTCGTTGATGATCAGCTGACAGCTGCTGAGCCGAGGGTCCTTCATAACAGCTGGAGAGAGACAGACAGGCAGAGAGACAGACAGTTAGAGAGACAGACAGACAGTTAGAGAGACAGACAGATAGTTAGAGAGACAGACAGACAGTTAGAGAGACAGACAGATAGTTAGAGAGACAGACAGAGAGACAGACAGACAGTTAGAGAGACAGACAGACAGGCGGAGAGACAGAGAGAGACAGACGGAGAGACAGACAGACAGAGAGAGAGACAGACAGAGAGACAGACGGAGAGACAGACAGAGAGAGACAGACAGACAGAGACAGACAGGCGGAGAGACAGACAGACAGACAGACAGACAGAAAGACAGACAGACAGTCAGACAGAGAGACAGAGAGACAGGCAGACAGACAGACAGAGAGAGAGACAGACAGAGAGACAGACGGAGAGACAGACAGACAGACAGAGAGAGACAGACAGACAGAGACAGACAGGCGGAGAGACAGACAGGCGGAGAGACAGACAGAGACAGACAGTTAGAGAGAGACAGTTAGAGACAGACAGACAGACAGGCGGAGAGACAGACAGTCAGACAGAAAGAAAGACAGACAGACAGTCAGACAGAGAGACAGAGAGACAGGCAGACAGACGGAGTGAGAGACAGAGAGACATACAGACAGGCGGACAGACAGACGGTTAGACAGACAGTTAGAGAGACAGACAGAGAGACAGACAGAGAGACAGACAGACAGAGAGAGAGACATACAGAGAGAGAGACGGACAGTCAGAGAAACAGACAGACAGACACAGACAGACAGACAGAGAGACAGACAGTCAGACAGAGAGACAGACAGACAGACAGAGAAACAGACAGACAGACAGACAGTTACATCATTAGTTTTGCATCATTTGAAGTGTAGGTTTTGTAAAAGTGTTGAATCCTCTGGTTGTCTGACATGTATCTAACGTCTTCCTCCCCGTGTCATCAGCTTGGTTTTGTAATTTAGTGGGAATGCTGATACAGCGTTAGGGTTAGGGGGTTAGGTTAGGGTTATGCTGATACAGCATTCGGTTAGGGGGTTAGGTTAAGAGGTTAGGGTTAGGGGGTTAGGTTAGGGTTAGGGGGTTAGGTTAGGGTTAGGGGGTTAGGTTAGGGTTATGCTGATACAGCATTCCCACTAAATGTTATTCAAAATCTTGATTCCGCCCGTTATTTTGCCGGTCTTCTTCTCCCACATTCCACATCGCAGAAACTCTGTTCAAACATCAAAACGTTCAGCTCGGTCGGGAATCGATGGCTATTACTTTTATCATTCATAACTTTCATAATTCCAGAGATACATCCCATAATACATCACATTTTTAACCATTGAAGTCAATGGAGACATTCTTCAGACTTCAACAAATCTTCATGCGACTTCAACTGCTAACTGTTCATTCATACTTTCACTCAGAAACCTCACCCCTAGATTCCACCGGGTCCGTCTGCGGCGCGTTACGGCTGCGCCGCGGTGCTCACGGCGATCGCGGCCACTCTAGTCAATGGGTGCTATTCCACCACACGCGGCGTGTTACGGCTCAGAAGCGTCCCAGAAGCGGCTCGGCGCAGGGCTCCTCTAAAATTAGGATCGAATCCTAATTTTGTCGCGGCGCAGCCGTAACGTAAGGTCGGGCAGGCAGGAAGTGGAACGTTCAGAGCATATATAGCATATATATATATATATATACACACACACATTTTGCAGACCCTATCCCTCCGTAGTCTTTCAAGTAGGAGGAGAAATGCCAGCGTTCTCCTCCGGTTTACAGGCACTGTGTAAATTATATATATATATAGAATAATTATGATGATGAATGCATTTTTTTACCACTAAAATACAGCAACACATCTTTGATTCATGTCGTTTATAACTGGAATATTACAGTTATTATTAACTTTGTCTGTACAAAGTAGCCTGTCCAGGAAATATGCCCAAATCAACAAAAACTGCGAGCCGGCAGGCAAGACGCTCCGCTTCTGAAATGCTTCTGAAACGCGCCTGGTAGGGTATGACGCCGGAGGAGGCCGGACCAAAACCGCGGCGCAGCCGTAACGCGGCGCAGACGGACCCGGTGGAATCTAGGGGTCATTCCAACTTTAAAATGTTACACACCTTTCTGACATTATTCGTGTAACACAACTTTTAAATCTGATTCTTACTTTTAGAGATATTAAACATTGTTCAGACCTTGGTAAAGAGGCTTTCTTCAGATTTTAACATTAACTAGAGTGCGTGATGTCAGAGTTAGAGTGGAGCAAATCTTGAAATTTGCCTTCATATATATTTTTAAAACTGCCATAATTCCCAAACCCTACATTCCTGAGACATAATTTTTCATGATAAATGTAGGAAAACATCTCGTAGCTTGAAAAATGACAAATAATTAAGCAAAAATAATTAAACAAAATGCCTCTTGAGGGCATGAAGTGACAAAAACGTTCAACATGTCTCCATTAAAGCCCATTGTAATTTCAGGCAGATATTTCCTCACAGCAGCAGCCACACACCTTTCTTAAACTGCCAAAAAGGCCACATTATTAACCCGAAAGTACACAAAAATTACACTTCAGATACTCAACTTCCTTGACATGCTTCACGTTTTGAGATTTCACAGATATCTGTTATCGTTCTTCCACAAAACGTTCACTACGAAGACATCTACGAGACAGTTTTGAGATTTCTTCAAATGCCGTTGCCATGGCAACACAATGCTCGCCATGAAACACGGTTTTCTCATAACTTCAGTGAAAATGCTCCAAATGGCCCAAAACTTCACAGGTTTGGTAACGATGCAGCCATCAACGCATCTAAGCGTATTATGGGATGTCATCAAATGCCGTTGGCATGGCGACAGATCATTCACCATCAAGTTAGTTCAACAGTTTGCAGTTCAAATATTCTGCTGCTTTTCCAAGCCTTTTTACTTTCTTTTCTTCTCTCATCACACATTCAAGCCCCCAGTGGTCATGTATCATTTCAATCTAAATTCTTCACTTTCTTCTTACACATTACATTTCAGCTTTTCAGCATAAAGCATTCCCACTAGCAATTTCTTCAGGAATTGCATTCTCTAGTGCTACTTGCTGTTACAGTTCTCATCCATTTGAACCACATTCCATCTGAATATTGATATATTTTCCAAATTCTCCGTATGTGTTAAACTACTTGGCAATAAACCTGTTTCTGATTCTGATTCATTCTTGTTGAAGTTTCACATGTTTGGTTGTTTAATATCTGTTCCTCCACCTCCCCTCCACCTCCTCTCCACCTCCTCTCCACCTCCCCTCCACCTCCCCCTCCCCTCCACCTCCCCTCCACCTCCTCTCCACCATGTGTGTTATGCGTCTCTGATGGTCCTCCTGGCAGTCGAACCCCCCTCAGACGCGTCCATGTGTCCATGTTTCCTGTCTATTTTTACCTCTCTGGCTCCTGCAGCTGTTTGTGGAACATTTGGTCTTTAAGGTCACGCTGCGTCTCCTCGAGGTCGTTCAGCTTCTATTCTCGGTGTTAGAGGGACCTTCGTACTGCTTTTAGGTTCATTAAATCATTTTGCTCCTCTTTCTGGTCATTTTTGCATTTCTGTGATTGCTTTGCATCCTTTAGTGTTCTTTGTAGTAACTCTGGGTGTCTGGGATCTTGTTTATTATATTTGACGTGTCTTTGTGGTCGCTTTATATCCATTTTGCGTGTCTTCCTGATGTGTCTTGAATCTAACCGTCTCTCTGTAGTAGATGTAATCTCTTTAAGGTCCCTCCGTTAACTCATTCTGCTTCTATTTTTAGACCTTTCGATCATGAGTCGACCTTTCTGGTGGTTACACGTCTATATTTGTCCTTTTTTAACCTACTTTAACTAGTTTTACGGTGGTTTTTATTTGCCTATTTTGAAGGACGACCCCCCCCTGGACCTCGGGCCACAGTTTGCCCCTCTGTTCCCCCGGTAAACAGCCCTCTGTTCCCCGGTAAATAAAAACCAGGAAGAGCTCCGGACGTTGAAGCTCATATTTGGAATATCCGTAGCGGCCAAACGGTGGTACTGCAGCTTCCGTGACGTCATTGGGCTTCTCCCCATTGACTTACATTGGGATAGAAACGGCTGTAAATCAGCGTTTGATTTTTTTAAGTAAATAAACTCCCCAGCACGAACTCTGTTATAATTCTTATTTAAATCATTAGGGTGTACAAGTTGTAAAACTAAAAGGCTCTAAAAGCTGAATCCAGAGTAATGTTCTCCTCTCCACTCGTCTGACAGAGAGGAACGGGTACAACTCAACTGAGCATGCTCAGTGGCCCACATCCGGGTACTTTCCGACTCTACAGTCGTGTCGTTTTGGCTTCATGCGCCCCTGAGCAACTTTTATTTTTACATTTATTTATTCAACAACAAATATTAACATATATGGTGTGAACTAAAAAGTAAACATAAATTAATTTTAACAAATACATACAATTAAATAAAAATACTGTTTGATGTTTCAGATTAAATTCTTTTTTAAATTATTGGTAATAAACAATAGAAAATAAGGTTGGGAGTCCGATATCTCTTTTTATGGATCTGAAATGGGCCTGAACATGTAATGAACTGCACACATGAAACTCAATCTGCATCTATAATATCAGCTTTAAAGGATCAATAGAAGTAGTTTATTGCCAAGTAGGGTCACATACAGAGGAATATTCACATTACATACAGAGGAATATTTACATATAGATATAACCGTGAATATAAAATAAAGTACACATGTGTTTATCCTGGAGTTGTTTTGTTAGTTCTGTTTTCTTTTTAAAACATACTGTACCTCACAGAAACACTCAGTAACACACTAACATCCATACTACAGAATAAAGAGCTCTGATTGGACGGAGCCTCCGGTCTGACACGCGGACAGAAACACAGTAAACTAACCACATGACTTTATATTACATATATAAAATAACAACAGGTGATCTAATTGGTTAATTACCTGAGAGCTCCGACGGCCTGTCCACTCTTCTTCTGTGGTTTCTGTAAATGGCTGCTGCTGCTGCTGCCTCTGTTTGTTTACATCTCTGACGTCACTGCGTGCTCGCTGCTGCTGATTGGACAAACCGCTCCGATGCCTTCACGAGGAACTTTGGAGCGAGGGGCGAAGGGATTTCAAAATAAAAGCCCTTACCTGGATAACAAAATAAAATGTGCAGTGTTATGAACAGTGGAAAGCTGTGTATTATAAAAATAAAAATACATATAAATACACAGCTTTCCAATGTTCATAATATATATATATATATCAGGAGGGTTTTGCAGGACTGACAGATCTTGTACTTGAGTAAAAGTAGAAGTACTCAGATCTTGTACCTGAGTAAAAGTACTCAGATCGTGTACTTGAGTAAAAGTAGAAGTACTCAGATCTTGTACTTGAGTAAAAGAAGTACTCAGATGATCTAGTACTCGAGTAGAAGTACTCAGATCGTGTACTTGCCTCAGCATGTATGATAGATTCTTCCAGAGGCACCGTGAAGGCAGCACTGTTCTCTGAAACATCGCGATACTTCAGTCTTTCCTCACGGCAGCAGCTTAGCTTAGCCATCAACTCCGCATGAAGAGAAACTAAGGTAAGAGTGTTTTATATATATGCATTTACACTGATATCAGCCGCATGCAACACGTTAACAGACAGCTCACGGCTTTATGTAAAACCTGCACACTGGACACCTTGAAGTAAAGATCTAAATCACGTTAAATAACGACTGTTATTAGCATTTAGCAGCTAAATCCCGTTAGCAGCCAATGCTAAAGTTAGCTTTTTCTCTAACGTGTTTTATTCTTGACCTTTTTGCTGTTATTTGCCTTTAAATCAGTCCAGACTTTAACTTAAGACGTTTCTCTAAATACTCATTGAATCGGCCTGCTGTTAGAAAACACAATCTGGAATTAATATTGTATTATTTTAGCAAAGGTATTTTGATAGATAGATAGATAGATAGAATGGGAGGGATGAAACCTCTAATGGTCACACATGCAGCACACAGTGACATGTGTTCTCTGCTTTTAACCCATCCTAGTACCAGGAGTCTAGTACTAGGAGCAGTGGGCAGCTATAAAAAAAATATTAAAAAAAAATCTGGTTATAGATGCCATGCCACGAAGTAAGTGGCAGTGCCTTAACCGTATATGTGTTGATGGCCACTAGGGCCAATTCCATCCTTGTCGAGGGGAGTGCTCACCTTCTCTCCTTTCATACAACACCATTGCTAACTTTTTAAACAGAAATAGTTTTCTATGACCTCACTTAAGACAATACACAAAAATCCACAAGACATAACAACATGAAGTACATTACAAGTCACATAAATAACATAAAGTCTTAAAGGTCCCATGTCATGCTTTTCCGGTTATTACCCGTCCCCTTGTGTTATGAAGGTTTTTCTGCATGTAAACGGTCTGCAGAGTCACAAACCCTCAAAGTACACCCTGTAGAGAGTAAAACTCTAACACAGAGAAGACCTGTCTATGCTGCCCCAGAACGCCTCGTTGGACATTTCTCTTTTTCCATTGTTTTCTTCCGGGAACCAAGTGACGTAACAACGACCCCTCCGTGGATTGGTCAAAATGGACCAATCCGTGGAGCCGTTACGTTACGTTCCTTCCTCACACACACACACACACTCAATCTTTTCTCAGCTGCAGCTCCGCCGATTTCTCCTCCCTGAGATGGCGGGACGCTGCGTGTGTATGTGTGTGTGTGTGTGTGTGTGTGTGTGTTCGGGCTGGGTTCCGCTGTGTCTCGCTGTCTCGCAGACGGCCACTGGGCTCACAGGGAGGGGGGGAGCTCCAACAAGCCGTTTAGGACAGAGAGTGAATACACATACTATACAGAGATGCTGTATGAGAAACCAATGTGAGTTTGGAACAATGTAAATCTATTCTAGTAGACCTCAACAAAGGAATTATGATCAGTAGAAATGGCCATGACATGGGACCTTTAACATAACTTCACAAACTCGTGGGTAGGCTAAGTAAAGAAATAGGCAGATATGAACGTTTTTATCCTTCTCCTAGCAGAGGAGTCCTCTTTCTTAATCTTAATGAATGAATTGGATCAGTTGTAAAATGCCTCGTCACAAAACAGTTCACTGATAAACTCATGAGACCTTTGAGTGTTCTAGTAGCAGTAGCTGATAATTCCTGAATACTTTGACTTGGTACTTATATATGTAGTGAAAGTATTCCACAGCGCTGTATAAGAGCTTGTGCTGCACAATTAATACTTTGAACGTACATTTGAATACTCACATACTTCTACTTGCATAAGGTTTTGAATGCAGGTCTTTGACTTGTTATGCAGTATTTTCATGAGTACATTAAAGTCTCTGCTTCTTCCACCTCTTGTAAAAAGCTGATTCTTTCTGGTTCCCCATCATTTCTCAATGCTACTCAAAGGTTTAAAATGTCTCTGTGTTTTGCTCCAGTTCTGCAGCTTCTCTCATTGTAAGTGCTCATGCTTTTTGTTCCTTCACATTTTACAGACCCCGTGCTTTATCTGAGGCTTATCTTTTTCTCTCTTTGATATATTTGTGTGACACCGTTCCTCAGAGATCCTCATGTTTCAACGAGGATGTTTGCAGCTCATGGTTCTCCCTCCGTCTGGATGTCTTTAGTTCTGTCTCCTTCTTCTTTACCTTCATGTCTCAGAAATCAAAACTGTTAACGAATCCGTCTTTATCCTCCGTTAGCTGTCAGCGTCTGAAGAGTTTCTACCTCCTTGTGTTTCAGCAAACAGAAGAGAAAGAATCCCCTTCCCCTTTTTGCACAAACTGACTTTCCACCATCCTTTAAAAGAATCCAAACACATTTTTTTGGCTGCTGCCGGCCTCATTTCTTAATCTTGGCTGCTCTTTTGTGGCGTCATGTCTCAGAAGTCGCAGTCAGACGGCGGTCAGAAACATTTTGCTGCCGGTCGAGGACTTCTGGCCGCCGCTGAGACTTTAAACTACAGCATGAACGATCAGAGATCCAATCGGCAAATGGGGGGAATGTCAATGTCCTCAGGTGTTGGTAGTGGTGTTGGCATCATGGAGAACCAGGAGGGTGGTGGTTCCCAAATGTCGCGTCGAGGCCATATCAGCAACACCATGAAGCTTTTTGCCAGTTTGGGTCTTTCTCCCTCCGACCTGGACGCTTTGGCTGATATCCCCGAGGAGGAAATCAGCGTGGAATCACTGCCTCGAATCCTCATGCAGCTGAAAAGCCGAAAAGTGGACGTTGGAGATCGGAGAGCGACTGCTTCGAGTATGAATTTGGACGCAGGGTACCGAGGAGGAGGAGGAGGAGGAGGAGGATGGGAGGGGAGGATGGGTTCTTCTTCTTCTTCTTCTCTTGGTTCTTCACGGCCCTCTGCAGACTTTGGGTTCGGATCGATGCAGGATTCGAGCCAGGGATTTGGGGTAAACTTCGGAGGTGGTGGAGGTGGAGGAAGAGAAAGGCAGTTTTCTGATCTTTCCGATCGAGAGTCCTACGGCGGTTCGACCCCGTCCGACCCCTTCCTGCCGCGGAGGATGGGAGCGCTGCCGTCCAACGGGAAAATCCAGGACTTCTTGGGATCCACGCCCAACATGTTCCCCCACGTGTGCTCTCTTTGTGACTTTGACGTTCACTCCACCATGGTGAGTACCGCCAGACTCCTTCCTCTTACCATGCTCAACGGTAGATGAGACGCAGGGATATTACTTGAATATTTTCACAGTGTGTTTTAATACATGTACTGCATTGAAGGCTCTACTTCTTCCTCCTCTTGTAAAATGCTGACTTTCTAGTTACACACTTTGCTGATAATCCTTGCTTACCTCTACCGAGTACCTTTTATATATGTAGTAAAACTCACCACAGTGCTTTGTTAGTACTTGCACACTCTTCTTTCTCAGGTCATTTTAATACTTGCATACTTCTCCTCGAGTTGTTTCCACCACATGGTTCTCTGCCTCCTGGTCTGAGGTGGATTTGGGACTAACGTTAAATGTCTCAGAGCTCCAGTCTTCTGTCCTCGTGTTTCCAGAGACAGTTTGCATTACATTTAGTTTCAGCATGTTTTCATTTGTTGACACCTGAAGCTGTGCAGTTGTTCAGTCAGACGTGGGTCTCTCCAACATCTTAGAGGAGACGTTCACCTTCCTCCAGCTAGACAATGTATTCACTTTGATTTTTTACAGATTTTGACTGCTGGAAGTCAAACAGAAAGATGTGAAAATTAATGTAAGCATCAATGAGAATCAGAGCAGCACAGCTGGACAGATACTTGACAAAATCTGCATCTGTTCACATGATGACATCACTCCCTCTCAAAATAACTAGGCCTAACCCTAAACCCTAACCCTATTGAAAGGCGCTATAAAAATTGAAATTATTATTATTATGTGTGAGTTGACTAGTGTTTAAACATTGCTACTAAAAGTCAGAATTCTAAGAAAACAGTTGAATGTTAGAAAAAGTGAAAATTCTGAGAAAAAAAAAGTGAAAATTCTGAAAAAGTCATTTTGGGAGAATTTTAATTTTTAGAAAAAAGTCGAATTGTGAAAAAAAGTCAAACACTGAAGGAGTCAATTTAAAAAAAAAAAGTGAAATTCATAAAAAGTCAGAATTGGGAGGAAAAAGTCAATTGTTAGAAAAAGTTGAAGTTCTGAGAGAAAAGTCATATTTGAGAAAAAAGTTAAATTATGAGAAAGTCTAATGTAAAAAAAAAATGTGGGAGAAAAAAGTCAAAATACTAAAAAAAAGTCAATTGTTAGAAAAAAATCAAGTTCTGAGAGAAATGTTAAAAAAAAATCTTAATGAGAAAAAGTCAAAATTAGGAGAAAAATGTCAAATTGTGAGAAAAACTTCAATTATTTAGAAAAAAAGTCACAATTTTTTAGAAAAAAGTCACAATTTTTTAGAAAAAAGTCAAAATTAGGAGAAAAAGTCTAATGTTAGAAAAAAAATCAAATATCAAATTATGAGAAAAAAGACAAATGTTAGACACATTTCCAAACCTTAGAAAAAGGGGAGTGGGAGGGTCCTGTTATAAAACATCACAAAGATCAGGGAATTACCTTTTCTGGTGACTTTCTAATCTCCTTCAGTGTGAGGGTAATCTGGACTCTGAGACCCTGGGATTATTCATTATTTTTCACTAAAACTCTTGAATTGTATTTATTATTTGGGTGAACTATTCCTTTAAGGTTCTCCTGGGGTTATAAAGGGCTCGTAGGGCGTCAGTAAATCTGTGTTTTGGACCCTCAGGAGTGGAACCAGCACATCAACGGACTTCGACATGATGAAAACCGCCGGCAGCTGCTCAACATGTGAGTCACGGACGCACTTTGGACATCGGCACGGACACTTTAGTGGGTTTTTGTTGAGATTTAACTTGTGGTGAATGCTGTTTCCAGGTATCCTGACTGGGACCCTGGCATGTCCTCCGGCAGAAGGTAAGAGACACTAAAGCCCGTCTGAATAGAGTTGCATAATCAATGCTTTACTGGAACTGATCCCATTGAATGGAAAGGTTTCCAGGTTGAGGGTGTTTTCCTCCACAGGAACTCACATCTAGTGGCTCTGGTTCTGCAACTCTTCCAGTACTTTAAACAAACTTTCTCCTGAAGACACAATTCAAACTAAGTCACAGAACATGTTCAGCTCGAAGTTTTATGTTCCTATGAGCTCCTTATCTGAAATGCTCGTTAAACAAACGGACCTTTACCCTCTGAACTCTGAACTTATTTCTGCTCTTCTTGTCACATTTTACTCACCGTGGCCTCGTGTTTCTCGCATTGTGTAACATTATATTTGAGTGGTTCTAAATGTGATCTTAAAGCACTGTCATCATGTTTGTTGATCTGTAAAGAAGTCCTGCTCGCTTCAAGGTGTATATCAGTGTTTAGTGTCTCTCCTGCCCTTTAATGTTAAATGTGCGTTTAACTGTCTGTTTGTTGCCTCTCTTCCAGTGGGGGGGGTCTCCTGCGCCCCAACATGTCTGAAGGGCTGCTGGGAGCTGGACCCTCGTCTCAGACCTCCAGCTGGGGTGAGACTTTAGCATTATGACGTGGTTGGAGCGAAGGACTTATTCTCTGAAATTGTGAGAATAAAGTCAAATTGGGAGAAAAAAGTTACATTTTAGGAAAAATAAGTCAAATTGTAAAATAAAAAGTGAATGAGCTGCAGTCGATGTCCTGCAGCAGAGATATTACCATTATGACTGAACTAGTTCGAGTTTTATTGACATAAAAAGTAATTATTCTTGTTCCATGAATGAGTTTTTGAGGGCCTTAAAACTGGGTGTGGGGAAAGTAAAATTGAGACAAAAAAGTAAAATTGGAAGAAAAAAGTAAAATTTTGAGAAACAGGTAAAATTGTGATAACGTCCATTTGTTTGAAAAAAGTCAAATCGTGACAAAAAAAAAGTCAAATTTTGGGAAAAAAGTCATTGTGAGAAAAAAAAGTCAAATGGTGAGAAATCGTTTCACCCGATGGATCTCACATTGTGTCAGTACCATCTGAAGGCATTCAGGGTCTCACATTGTGTCAGTACCATCTGAAGGCATTCAGGGTCTCACATTGTGTCAGTACCATCTGAAGGCATTCAGGGTCTCACATTGTGTCAGTACCATCTGAAGGCATTCAGGGTCTCACATTGTGTCAGTACCATCTGAAGGCATTCAGGGTCTCACATTGTGTCAGTACCATCTGAAGGCATTCAGGATCTCACATTGTGTCAGTACCATCTGAAGGCATTCAGGGTCTCACATTGTGTCAGTACCATCTGAAGGCATTCAGGATCTCACTCCTCAACATGTGCTTCTAATCTTATCATGATGACAACATACAAACATGTACATTGTTGGAGTAAGTTGTTAAGAAAACTGTTTTAAGGATAGAAGTGCCCAGACTTAAGGTACACTTAAGCAGTTTATGAATATATAAACATGTTAATGCTGTGTGTGTGTGTGTGTGTTTGTGTGTCAGGAGGAGGAGGAGGAGGTACCGATCTGTCAGGGAAGAACCCGCCGCCACAGGATAAGGTTTGTTCCTCTCTGTACTGATCCACGGTCACTAATCCACCTCCACCCAAAACGGTGGAGTCGTCCACTAAAGAGAAACTCTTCCACATGTTACAAACACGTCTGGTGCCCTCTGCTTTATTTCTGGAGGAGTTTACAGCAGATTGTAAACTTCTCTCTGTGTGCGTTCCTGGTCTGGTTTCATGTTTGTGTTTGCTGAGGACATGGTGGAAGTTGGTTCCCCGTGCGAGGCTATTTGGATCTGCTGTTCTGAAGAAAGATCAAAAGTATGCACACGGTGGTAATCAGTGGTGTTTCTGTGTTGTGTTTGCAGCTGAGGAGCAGGGTGGTGGTGGTGAAGTACGACAGGAAGCCGCTCAGCAACAAAACTCTGTTCGCCTTCACAGAGCCCTTCGGACGCCTGAGGGAACACCTGGTGCTCAACAACAAGGTGAGAAACTGTTTCTACACAACAAAAGCTAACCTGTGTGGAGATGCTTACACAACTGCACCTGAGGCCTGTACTACGAAGCCGGATTGTCCTAACCTGGATATGTTTGAGTTAGCCGGTTGGCCCAATCCAAAACATACGCGCTCTCGCTAAACTGTACTACGACGCTGGTTATCAAGTGGATCGCTCAAGCCAGCCGTGTCCTATCTAGTTAGGTGCGCGTTCACATGAAAGGGGTGGTATTTGGAGCATTCGACCAATCACAAACATGGACAAGCGTACTGACAGCGCAGCGTCATACTTCCTGAATGAAAAGTGAACTTTAATATTAGTCAAATATGAAGAAGTTCAACTTTAAACATCCATGACTTAAACACTTTATCCAGGATCAAAGCCACATAGCTGCACCTGCAAGGTGAATACAGCTGGTAACAGAAAAAGTGTTTGAATGCGTTCATTAACAGGTTTATGATATCACTGCCCCGTCCAAGACACGATCTGACTTTAATTACATTTGACTCGAGTGTTTCGTCAACTTAATGTGTTGCTTAAAATAATACTTCTGCATACAGTATGTGACACTGTGAGTGTTGCACGGCCAGATACGGCTCAGCTGACTCAGATAAGGAAATATATGATACATTATGATGTGATATGATATGAATGATAATGGGACACATCGACGTCTGCACTCACAGTGCCGCGGACTGTACTTAATGTTACTCTGATCCGGTTACTTATGTCGTGGCAGATATTTAAGTAAGCTTTCTTAACGCTAATGTTATAATAGTCAGATTGCTCTGAAGATGGGAGGGGATATTCTATTAATTTTCACGTTCACACAGTCAGTTGATTTTTGCCGGCCGTCTTTCCTGCAACGGCAGTTTTTCTGTATTTCCTCTATCCTGTAATATGACTTGATAGCTTTAAACTCCGCACACGGAGCTCTGATTGGTCAGCAGGCGGTGCTTTCACTGAGTTGATCTCTTAGCCTGCAACCTAACCTCCTCCCGAGGAGGTTAGCCGCTCAGCATAAGTTACCATGGAAATCTAGCCCGCTAAAAAGAGAACCAGCGTCGTAGGACCGGAAAGCCCGAGTTTTCCCTGAAGTCAGCTGGCTAAGCGAAAATCCGGCTTCGTAGTACAGGCCTCAGGTGAACATCAGGTATAATCCTTCCTGTCCTCCTTGGACACCAAAAGAACCGTAGGCAAGATGTTCTGAAAACAGCACAGAGAATTACGATAATACTTGAATGGTCCGATCAAGTCTGAAAGGATCAGTGAGCCTTCAGCGTGCATCTGATCTGGATTAAGCTCTGTGTTTACTGAGAGGATTGACTGGAGCACAAAGGATGCTTCAGTCGGACTGTACACCTTTACTTGCACCAGAGAGCACGCACCATCTGGAGGTCTGTTCTCACGTTGTCTCCTGCAGGCCTTCCTGGAGCTGCACAGCCACGAGGAGGCTCTGGACATGGTGAACTACTACCAGCAGCACCAGGCCAATCTCTACGGGAAGCCCATCACCTTCTACCTGTCCCGCAGACTGCAGGTCATCGAGGTACCTGCACACACTTTCAACGCTGCTGCTGTAGTCGGGTATATTGCATGAAATATAGAGTTGTACCATGTAGTAGGGGTAAAGGACTCAGAACGGGAAGTGTGGGAACTAGGTTAGAAACTAGGCCTCACAAACTGCAATTAAAAGAGTCAAGGTAAAACGAAAAGGCAACCTTCAGTAAGTTCAGGTAAACTATTCTTTAAATTGTGGGATCCAGTTATGGTCAATGTAGTGCAGGGAGTTGGAGCCTATTGACATTCTAAAGTCATATTGTGACAAAAAAAATGAAATTGAGAGAAAAAAGTGAAAAAGAGTAACAACAAAGAATATGGGAGGTGGTTTGTCGTCCTTCACCGAGGTCAACCAATAAAGAACAAGAACAACAAGAGCAACCTCTGTTTTTAAATCCTCCAGTGATGTATTTGCTAGGGATGGGAACGATTAATCGAATGTTAGAATATTCGAAATTATTCAGATATGAGAATATGAGTTATGAATATTTTTATTGTAATATTTTTGTTTTTTTTGGGAGTGGTGCCCGAGTTGATTACATATGATCAAATGGAATAATTCAATGTATACGACAGTGCCATAGCTAAGTGTGTTAGGTCTAAAGGTGTGTTTTGCTCCGCTCACCGGTCCCTCACAGCGGGCAGAGCTGCAGGTGCTGATCTCTCTCTCTCGTCCGGTACTTCACTCGCGTTTATGTCCAAATCCATCAGATCTAGTTAGTTTAGCTAATGGTATGGCTGCTGCCCCTCGCTACACGCAGATCACGCAGACTCAAACCTCATCTTATGCCCACATTCCAGCTGAGAGGGTCTTCTCTACAGCTGGCCTGATTGTGAATTGCCTCCGCACCCGCCTCTCCCCTGAGTAGACATGCTCATACTCTTAAACAAGAATGAGTATTGAATAGCTGCATTCTGTGCATAGACCCTGTTACAGGTTGTTGTGATAGGGTTACGTTACCCTAACCCGTTCTGTTGTTCGTGTATGATCCCTCTTTCATTTAAAAACCAAGTTATGTTTTAAGCATGAAAGCTGTCGGCCTATAGCTGTCAACTGTTCAAACTGTGATCACCAGTTCAATACATTTGACAAATTCGACTTGGTTTCTATACTTATTAGAACATGTGTTTATTTATTTTTCTAAATTATTATTTTTTATTTTTATGTAAAAAATGTTCACACTTTCTTTCTTTTTTTATAGGATATGTACATTTCGGTTAATCGGTTAACCGTTTTTTGGGGGTCGAATATTCGAATATACATTTGCTTTCAAATTCTCATCCCTAGTATTTACTGACGTATTTTATGTCACAACAACGTTAAAATCTCTTCAGCTCGTGTTAACCACAGACCTCAGGATAACAACCAAAAACACACTCAGGAAACCATTGACCTCCAGACCAGGGGACAGGAAGCTAGGAAACTCATTCCTGCAGAAACCTCTTTGTATCTTCTGCTGAATTTCTGGTTTTGAGACATATTTGTTTTCTCCTGAAACACAAAATACATGATGTGTCTCCCAATAGCAGCGCCACGCCAGCACACAGCTGGACCACATCAACTAATCAGCTGCTCAACGACACCATGTGCTCTGAGGCACTACACAAACTTTTAACCAAACTTTCTACAAAATAACCCGTAGGACGAGTCTCCATGTTATGACCTGGCTCAAAAGGCCACAACAAAGGGGAGACACACCATATCAACGCTTAATAACATATGTTTATTTAAAGTGGACCTATCATGGTATATTTAAATGATATATTGTAGGGCCATACCTATATAAGGTATATTTATACGTTTCTGTTTTCAAAATACCAAACAGATCATGCATTTTAGCCATGCCTCATTTCGCTCAATTTGCACTTTGTTTAGCTCTGCTCTGCAAGGGCTGATTCTGTGAGAACAGCACCACCTACAGGCCTGGCATATGTACTACAGCGTCTCCAGCGCTTTTGAACGGCAATGGCCGTGGCTGTCTCCTCCTGATTGGTGGAGTTGGCCCAATAGCCGTAGCGCCACCGTCCTGACGTCAGGACAGTGTTCAAATCTGGATCAGTTTTTATCAGATCCGTTGCAGCCCCTTTTTTAGAGATTTGGGTATGGAGGAAAATAGAGAGGGTTGTGTTTTCTGACACTTGGTGAGTTCCCTGGAACACCGGGGACACATATTCATGTAGAAAAGACGTACAAAAGTGCATTTTGCATGATAGGTCCCCTTTAAGCAAGTAATTCAAATTAACCAAATTTAATGAAGTGCAAAATAAGTAAAGCATGAGGTGTGGACGTCAGTGGTATCAGTAGTGTAAATGCAGGGTGAGGGTTGCATGGACATGTATGTGTGAGGGTGTTGAGGTGCACAAAGTAAAGCAACTGAAATAACAAACAGCATACTCAACAAAACCGGGTGCCTGTATGAGAAAGCAGAGAGGCTTTAAGTAGCTGAAGGGCACCAGACCCAGGTGCCCTGAGTCACTGCAATCAAGGCTGGACACAGCACAGCCACACCCTCTCCAGATGAACCCACAGAGGCATCACATCAGTGACAGAAGGGGAAGTATAAAACCTAACAAACCATAAAACCTAACATCCATATGATAATTGTCAAGGCAACACCCTTCTGTCTGAGAACATTTAGTAGTTAGGGTTTGATTTAAACTTTGAGAAGATCAACCCAAGATAAACCTATATATATTGACTTATGATCAGTGTTGGGCAAGTTACTTTAAAAAAGTAACTAGTAATAGTTAAAGTTACTGCTCTCAAAAAAGTAACTAGTTACTTTATTAGTTACTAAATTATAAAAGTAACTAGTAACAAGTTACTTTACTTAAAAAAAATAATAACAATAAAAATACAAGTTTTTGTGTTGTTGGAAAAGGTCTTTCTGCACTGTGGTCCTGCTTTCACTGCTTTCACTGGTATTTTGCTGACTAGTTCTCTGAAGGCAACAGACTCGACCGTTGCGATGGGCAGTATGTCCTCAACAACATACCTGGCAATCAATCTGTTTCGTTGACTCTGAGTGACATGTGGCGATTTAAAAAAAATCTTTTTTTGGCTGTTTAGATGGTGTTGCTCCATCTGGGTCACTGCCGGTGGTTCAGACGGTGGGGTCTTTGGCGACTAGTTTTATAGCCCCATGTACATTAGTTAGGTGCTTCAGGAGATTGGCATTGCTGTTATTCGATGTGGACAATGCTTTCTGTCCTGCACACAGTTTACATTTGACCGTAATATTTTTTGCGTCCTTTATCCACAAATTGAAAATAGTGGTTATATCTCCAAGTTGTAAATGCGCTGCTGCTCTCGCTGATATCTGCCATTGTGTGTGTGTGTGTGTGTGTGTGTGTGTGTGTGCTGGTGGTGGGCGTTGCTGTGTATGTGTGTGTGTTAGCAAGTGTTTGTGTGTCTGTGTATTTTCCCCATAAGGCAAGACCTGCCCAACTCTGTCTCTGATTGGCTTACCCTGAAATGTTACCCCGCGTTAACCAATCATCACTCCTCTCTGGTCACTTTCACTTTTCCATGGTACTGTGAGAGGACATCACTGTATTCGTCTGTAAGTTACATCCGCACGGAGATTCGGTTCAGTTGGACCACATAATGTAACGCAGTAACGCACCCATTTAAATCACAGTAACGGCGTTACTGAATGGGAATAGGTAACTAGTAACGTTATTAGTTACCGCAAAAGGTAGTTGCGTTACAGTAACGCATTAGTTTGTAACGCGTTAGTCCCAACACTGCTTATGATACATTTCCATGATATGTTTGACCCTCAGAAAAACAACCGAGGTTCAGACCGGTCGGTGGATCTTTCGATGGATCGTCCGATGGATCGTTCGATGGATCGTCCGATGGATCGTCCGATGGATCGTCCGATGGATCGTCAGATGGATCGTCCGATGGATCGTCCGATGGATCGTCAGATGGATCGTCCGATGGATCGTCAGATGGATCGTCCGATGGATCGTCAGATGGATCGTCCGATGGATCGTCAGATGGATCCTCCAATGGACCGGCCTGTGAGGCAGGTCAAAGGTCAAGAAAGTCAGGTGGTCTTCTTCAACAACATGCCCAGAGAGGAGGAGGATAAGAAGGAGCTGCTGACCATCGCGGCTCGATTCGGAGAGGTGGAGAAACACCTGTTCCTCACAGACCAGGTAATGATATGAGCATTACTTTAGCATACCATTAAACAAGTGAACTTAGCAAAGTTATAATACAGGATATAAACAAATTAAGTTATCGCGATAGTATCTTGGAGAGCCTGGTGATTCCCCCCCCCCCCCAGAGCTACAGTGTAGATATGTACAAATGAAAATCTTCGGTCCCAGGCTCCTCCAACAGAGCAACACAATAAAACAGATCAAATAGTGCAAGGAGAGTCTATGTACAATGTTTCTGTGTTTGCAGGCGTTTGTGCAGCTGGGGACTCCGGAGGACGCGGAGATGCTGGTGAAATATTACAACGTTCACTCTCTCACCATCAAGGGCCGACCCATCCGCCTCAACATCTGCACCAAGTACAAGACCCTCAAGTGAGTCACACCCCCGGGGAATGCACTGTAAACTAGTTGTGTGTTTTCCCCCGTTGTCTTTATTCAATCACAACACAGAACAAAGACAACAGACTGTGTACATTATTTTATTTGTATTTATTTATTTTAATGTATGAATATCTCATCTGAGGCACATTTCTGTTTCCAGTGTGAACAAGAAACTTGGAGGCGCTCGAGGCCCAAGGACCGGAGGACCAAACGCCTCCAGAACCTCCTCAAACGCCTCCAGAACCTCCTCAAACCCCTCAAGAACCTCCTCAAACCCCTCCAGAACCTCCTCAAACCCCCCCAAAACCTCCTCAAATCCCCCCAGAACCGCCTCCTCTTCCTCCAGGTCCAGATCCAGGAGTCGGGAGGAGAGGAGGAGGGAGGAGGAACCGAAGGCTGAGGAGGCTGAGGAGGCTGAGGAGGAGCAGCCGGCGGCAGGAGAAGAAGAGGAGGAGGTTTCAGGAGTCATGGAGGGGGAGGAGGAAGAGGAGAAGGAGAATGAGGATGTGGAGGAGGAGGAGAAGGAGGAGGAGGAGGAGGAAACGGTGATGGAAACTATGGAGGAGGAACAGGAGGTCAAACAGGAGGAGGTGAGGAAACATGAAGGAGTAGTAACTTATTTTAACATTTACTTTACATTTCTATAAACGTACAATTCATAAAATACATTTTAAGTAAAGATAAATAATACAAAAGCATCTGTTATCAATGTTTCTTAAAGGTCCCATGTCACGGCCATTTCTACTGATCATAGTTCCATTGTTGAGGTCTACTAGAATAGATTGACATTGTTCAATGTTCCAAACTCACATTGGTTTCTCATACAGCATCTCTGTATAGTATGTGTATTCACTCTCTGTCCTACACGGCAGAACCCAGCCCGAACACACACACACACGCAGCCTGGCTGGGAGTCGGTGTGTGTGCTCACACCGACTCGCAGCCTCGCCGCGTCCCGCCGTCTCAGGGAGGAGAAATCGACGGAGCAGCAGCTGAGAAAAGATTGTGTGTGTGAGGAAGTCCATTTGGACCAATGGGTCCATTTGGGTATGGGCACGTCACTGTACCCAGGAAGAAAAAGAGAAATGTCCAACGAGGCGTTCTGGGGCAGCATAGACAGGTCTTTTCTGTGTTAGAGTTTTACTCGCTACAGGGTGTACTTTGAGGGTTTGTGACTCTGCAGACCGTTTACATGCAGAAGCTACAGAACACAAGGGGACGGGTAATAACCGGAAAAGCATGACATGGGACCTTTAATATTAGTTATTTGTACATCATGTTTTAGTTGGTGACGTTTGAATGTCTTTATGCAGGTTCCTGATGATGTCACTGATGACACACCTGTTGAAGTGGGCGGGGCTCCAGGGGAGATCACGCAGGGGGCGGAGTCAGAGGCCGCGCCAGAACCCGAAGTCTCTGCAGAAGAAGAACCGAACGCAGAACCAGAGGAGAACCAGGAGGGAGAACCGCCTGCTGACAGCGTACGCTTTATAACGTTTATTAATATTATCCATCTTCTCCTGTTTATCCGTGGTCGGGTCGCGGAGGTATCAGTTCCAGCAGAGAGCCCCAAACTTCCCTTTCCCTTAGAGATATAATCCCTCCACCTGGTCCTGGGTAGAGATATGATCCCTCCACCTGGTCCTAGGTAGAGATATGATCCCTCCACCTGGTCCTGGGTAGAGATATGATCCCTCCACCTGGTCCTAGGTAGAGATATGATCCCTCCACCTGGTCCTGGGTAGAGATATAATCCCTCCACCTGGTCCTGGGTAGAGATATAATCCCTCCACCTGGTCCTGGGTAGAGATATAATCCCTCCACCTGGTCCTGGGTAGAGATATAATCCCTCCACCTGGTCCTGGGTAGAGATATAATCCCTCCACCTGGTCCTGGGTAGAGATATAATCCCTCCACCTGGTCCTGGGTAGAGATATGATCCCTCCACCTGGTCCTATGTCTACCCCTTGGTCTCCTCCCTGGACGTGCCTGGAACACCTCCCTAGGGAGGCGCCCAGGTGGCATCCTTACCAGGTGACATCCTTACTAAGCGGCATCCTTAACAGGTGACCGAACCACCTCAACCGGCTCCTTTCTACGCGAAGGAGCAGTGGCTCTACTCCGAGTCCCTCCCGGATGGCTGAACTTCTCACCTTATCCCTAAAAATAAGAATTTGTTCTTAATTGATTTTCCTGGCTAAATAAAGGTTTACTACTACTACTACTACTACTACTACTACTACTACTACTACTACTACTACTACTACTACTACTACTACTACTACTACTACTACTACTACTACTACTAAGGGAGACGCCAGCCGCCCTGCGGAGAAAACCCATCTCGGCCGCTTGTATCTGCAATCTCGTTCTTTCGGTCATGACCCATCCTTCATGACCATAGGTGAGGGTAGGAACAAAAATGGCCTGGTAGACAGAGAGCTTTGCCTTCTGGCTCAGCTCTCTTTTCGTCACAACGGTGCGGTAAAGCGACTGCAGTACCGCTCCGATTCTCCGGCCCATCTCACGCTCCATTGTTCCCTCACTCGAGAACAAGACCCCAAGATACTTGAACTCCTTCACTTGGGGTAAGGACTCATTCCCTACTTGTAGTGGACAGTCCATCGGTTTCTTGCCGAGAACCATGGCCTCAGATTTGGAGGTGCTGATCCTCATCCCAGCCGCTTCACACTCGGCTGCGAGCCGATCCAGTGAGTGCTGAAGGTCGCAGACCGATGAAGCCATTAGAACCACATCATCTGCAAAAAGCAGTGGTGCAATCCTTAGTCCACCGAACTGCAGACCCCCTCCCCCACGACTACGCCTCGAAAATCCTATCCATCAATATCACGAACAGGATTGGTGACAAAGCGCAGCCCTGGCGGAGGCCAACCCTCACCGGAAATGGATCCGACTTACTGCCGAGGACCCGGACACAGCTCTCGCTTTGGGAGTACAGAGATTGGATGGCCCTGAGTAGAGACCCCCTCATGCCATACTCCCGTAGCCCCTCCCACAGTATCTCCCTAGGAACCCGGTCATACACCTTCTCCAAGTCTACAAACACATGTAGACCAGATAAGGCCACTCCCAGGCCCCCTCCAGGATCCTTGCGAGAGTAAATAAGATTTTCAACTGCATAATTACTCTGTAGCTATGTCAGATTGACAATAAAGAACCTTGAACCTTGAAAAAGCTGATCCGTTGTTCCACGACCAGAAAGGAATCCACATTGTTCCTCTTCAATCTGAGGTTCGACTATCGGCCGGACCCTCCTTTCCAGTTCCTTAGAGTCAACTTTCCCAGTTATTTACCTGCAGACAGCGTACGCTCTATAACGCTTATTAATATTAATTACAGTTTATCTACCTGCAATCTAACTTTCCTTAAAGTTGAATAATGAACTGATTTGATGATTGTGTTGCAGTTTGAGGAGGACTTCCTGGAGAACATGGATGACTTTGTGACGTTGGACGAGCTGCAGGAGGACGAGGAGGAAGATGAGGAAGAGGAGGAGGACACCACCGGTACTAACTGCACAATAACATCATTTATTGTTATTATTTTATATATTTTTACAGTAGTCAACTTGTTGAATATTATCTCTGACATTTGTCACAAATGTTACTGAAAATGTTACAGATATTTTACCTTTTATTTTCCAGATTTGTTTTGGATATCTTAATAACATATTTCAGATATTTATACTTGTCTCTTTCGTTGAAACTAACGTTGTTCCTCCTCCCTGTTCGTCTCCTCTCTGCAGACAACTCCAGGAAAGGGGTGAGCAACGTTTGATAGAGAGTTTATTATTACCACTTAGATGTTTTTATATTTGCTAAATATCTTCCTCCTCCTCCTCCTCTTCCTCTTCAGGGCATGAGGGTGGTGAACATCGTGGGCTTCAGGCGAGGTTATAAGTTCATGAACGACCTTCTGGCCCTGGCCAAGCCGTTTGGGAAGGTGGTGAAACATCTGGTGCTGGACCTCAGACCTGAGGTACGCTGCAGGAACATCTGATTTACAATAATTTAAATTGTACTTTAAGAGAGTCAGGTGTTTCAATTAGTCCTCCTCCTCCTCCTCCTCCTCCTCCTCCAGGCGTATCTTCAGTTTACCACAGAAGAAGAAGCTCGAGCTATGGCTACCTTCTACAGCTGTAATGTGACGGCTTCTATCTGCGGTCGACCAGTGAGAATCAGCCATTCAACGAGCTATCCTACCATCCAGGTGAGAAACATCATCACCTTCATCATCACCTTCATCATCACCTGGAACACCTGAGGAGAACTACACTCTTCTTCTTCATGTGTTCCTGACTCTTCTTCTTCATGTGTTCCTCAGTGTGGATCCAGTAAAGTTGTTTACCTCGGTCAGATCCCGAAGTGTAAATACTCCGACGGTGACGTCCTGAAACTGGCCGAACCGTACGGAAGAGTCCGGAAGTATTTCCTCAACCGGCTGAAGAGAGAGGTACAGAACCACAGGAACCAGAACCACAAGAACCAGAACTAGAAAACCAGAACCAGAACCATCTTTACTCTGTCATCAGATTTGAATTCAGAAATGTTGTCAAAACGTACTTTAGCTTAACTCAAATTAAATGAAGAGTCCGGAAGTATTTCCTCAACTGGCTGAAGAGAGAGGTACAGAACCAGAACCACTAGAACAAGAGCCAGAACTACAACCAGAACAACCAGAACCACTAGAACAAGAGCCAGAACTAGAACCAGAACAACTAGAACCACTAGAACAAAAGCCAGAACAAGAGCCAGAACAACCAGAACCAGAACCACTAGAACAAGAGCCAGACCTACTGACATCTGCTTTGTGAACAAAATCTCTATAAAATTATATGACCTCTTAAAGGCGTGCAAAAAAAAATCTGAAAACTTCTAACAATTATACATAAAGAAATACAGAAGATATGGAGTTTTTTGTGAAGGAGTAACAGGAATACATTTATCCATGGTGTGTCTGCAGTGCTTCGTGGAGATGGATAAGGCGGAGGAAGCGGAGAGAATGGCTGAAGATTGCAAAGAGAATCCTCCGAAGTTCAACGGGAAGCGACTCACGGTTTATGTCAGCAGGAAGTACCGGCAGCTCAAACACGGGTACGTTAACTGTTAGAAAACTCTCACTGGTCCCCGGCTTGATCTTCAATCTCAGGATCCATGTATTTGTGATCCTCTCCAGAATGGAAGTAGTCATCACATACAGAGCATCAACTAGTTCCTGAACAGTGTCCTTCACATGCTGATATCCAAGAGAGGGAGTTACACAGTCACAAGATGGAGGAATACCGGTTGTCATGTACAAAACACTGAGCTTGTTCTCAAAATGTTGGTTTTTTTCTGAAAATATCAAAATTCCGACTTTTTCTGAAAATATCAAAATTCTGACTTTTTATCAAAATTCTGACTTTTTATCAAAATTCTGACTTTTTCTCAAAATATCAAAATTCTGACTTTTTCTCAAAATTCTGACTTTTTATCAAAATTCTGACTTTTTATCAAAATTCAGATTTTTTATCAAAATTCTGACTTCTATCAAAATGTTGGCTTTTTACTGAAAATCTCAAAAAATCGAACTTTTTCTCAGAATTCTGACTTTTTCACAAAATTCTGACTTTTTCTCAAAATCTTCAAAATGTTAATAATCACTCGTCCCCGGCTTGAGCTTCAACATCAGGATCCATGTATTTGTGATCCTCTCCAGAATGGAAGTAGTCATCACATACAGAGCATCAACTAGTTCCTGAGCAGTGTCCTTCACATGCTGATATCCAAGAGAGGGAGTTACACAGTCACCAGATGGAGGAATAGAAAGCAGTATTCAATGTTTACTTCAGATTAGCTCCACGTCAGAAATGAGCATGCTTGTCATATGTCTATAGAGTGGCGAAGTCACGCCCATCTACTTCCGCCCCATGGGACCTTATGTCGGAAAAATAATGTATTGAAGTCAATGGAGAGAGAAAACTTATCTTTCGATCCCGTTTGAATTGTGCCATGAATTACACGTATGATGTTTGTCAATCTTAAAAAATCATTTCCATGTCAAAAAAGTCACAGTTTGTCGTAAAACTGTTGAAATATAAGACTATGAAAAATACGCAACTAGAAAGACTACAAATCCCAGAGTGATGTCACAATTGTTTTCCTCCACTAAGAGATAGCTAAGATCAGCGCCATATATATAGAATCTATCTATATGGCGCTGGCTAAGATAAGATAACTTTAACAAGATGCCTGTGTGCTTAGTACCAGGTTGTTATCATACCAGCAATGGGTCTTGCTCGTTCTTTCGCTTCCCGTCTGATGAAAGGACCAGGAGTGTCTGGATCAAGCTAGCTAGTAGCTAGCACGTTAGTTAGCATTACAGCCTTGTCATTTTTATTAGCCTTAACATGAAGTAACATTAAGTAACCCAAAATGTTAAACAATAAGAGTAGTAGTCATATTTCGTGAACCCTTTGAAGAGTACTGTCACACCGGTGTGATCATTCATGGATCATTCTATAATACACAATTTAAGCTCGGGGGAGAAATGCTAACGCTAACGCTAGCGATCTTCTCTACTTCATGCTATCTGCACAAATGGTTGACATTGAACATTAAAAAGACCAGGCAGTTCAGAGAGAATCAAAGGAAGGCAGGCAGGCAGCTTTGCATGACTTTCTTCAGGACGTGTTTCATTGTGGTGATAGTGAGGATAGTCAATCGTTTTCTTGACAAGACAGTAATGACGGCCATCTTGGTGACGTGTGTTGCTGACCAGAGATGTAGTTCATTGAGCGTTTCACACAAACAAATGTGTTTGACTTGCAAAATTATCTTTTAAATTGACAAACATCATATGTGTAATTCGTGGCACAATTCAAACGGGATCGAAAGATAATCTTTCTCTCTCCATTGACTTCAATACATAATTTTTCCGAAATAAGGTCCCATGGAGGTCCACCGGAAGGGGAGGGACTTCGCCACTCTATCTCCATAGAGGCTGAATCATCATGTTAATCACATAGCTATCATATGCCTCAAACAGTCCTGATGCTCTTCTAGGTAATCATACATCCTGTCATGTACACAGCTACAGTTGGGATACCTTTGTTATCATGTTGCTCTCATGTTGGAAGAGGACATTCAGGATTCCCCGAACACTAACGCCTCGACAGATTCATTATTCACAAGAAGAAAGCACATCTCTAACCCTCCTTCTGCTTCTCCTCTGTTCAGACATCAGTGTCCGAGCAGAAGCAAGAGGGAGAGCAGCGGCTCGTCTCCACAGCCCTCCAGAAGTCCTGAGGAGCCTGCAGCCAAGAAATCTAAAGAGGAGGAAGAGGAGGAGGAGAAACTAGAGCAAGAGGAGGAGAAACAGGAGGAACTGATGGAGGAGGAAGAGGAGAAGAAAGAGGAAGAGGAGAAGGAGGAGGAAGAGGAGAAGAGCTGTGAAGACGAGACCAAAGCAGAAACCCCGGCAGAAAAAACTCCTGACGTTTCTGAACCGGAACAGAAGAGCTGCCAGGAGGTTGTTATTGTTATTATTATTATTATTGTTATTATTATTATACATTTTTTTGATTCACTTTTTATTTAAGTATTTCATTTCATGATTTTTAAATATATTTGTTTACATTCACTTAGTTAGTTATCATTTTTTAAATAAATATATATTGAATGTTTTTAATAAAGTGACAATCTGACATTTTTATTTTATGATTTATTTACCTTTTTTTCAATCTGGTTTGTCTTGTATTAAATGTTGTTAGTCCCCAGATGATGAGCCCTGAGCCGATTGAAGACAGTTCATTATGTGACATTTCTACCCTTTCTTTCATTCTGTTTCTCTAAATGCATCTATGGTTTAAAGACCCTCCTCTATTCATCCCTCTCTGTGCAGCAGGTGATAGAGACATCGACCAATCAGAACGGAGACACCGAGGCCCCGCCCCCTGCTGAAATCAGACCAATCACAGCGTCTCTGCCGCTGCCTCCCCACGACCCCGACACCCCCATCGGTGAGGAAGCAGCCTGATCTATATGATGTTAAAGGAGAGGAATATATTCTGTTATCTTTTATTTGATTGTTTCCTCAGTGAGAGAAACGACTAACTAACTAGAGAAACGAGCGACTAACTAACTAACTAAATAGAGAAACGAGCGACTAACTAACTAACTAGAGAAACGAGCGACTAACTAACTAACTAAATAGAGAAACGAGCGACTGACTAACTAACTAACTAGAGAAACGAGCGACTAACTAACTAACTAGAGAAACGAGCGACTGACTAACTAACTAGAGAAACGAGCGACTGACTAACTAACTAACTAACTAGAGAAACGAGCGACTGACTAACTAAATAGAGAAACGAGCGACTAACTAACTAGAGAAACGAGCGACTGACTAACTAACTAAATAGAGAAACGAGCGACTAACTAACTAACTAGAGAAACGAGCGACTGACTAACTAGAGAAACGAGCGACTAACTAACTAGAGAAACGAGCGACTAACTAACTAGAGAAACGAGCGACTGACTAACTAACTAAATAGAGAAACGAGCAACTAACTAACTAGAGAAACGAGCGACTAACTAACTAGAGAAACGAGCGACTGACTAACTAACTAGAGAAACGAGCGACTGACTAACTAACTAAATAGAGAAACGAGCGACTAACTAACTAGAGAAACGAGCGACTGACTAACTAAATAGAGAAACGAGCGACTAACTAACTAACTAGAGAAACGAGCGACTGACTAACTAGAGAAACGAGCGACTGACTAACTAACTAACTAGAGAAACGAGCGACTAACTGACTAACTAGAGAAACGAGCGACTAACTAACTAACTAGAGAAACGAGCGACTAACTAACTAACTAGAGAAACGAGCGACTAACTAACTAGAGAAACGAGCGACTAACTGACTGACTGACTAACTGACTGACTGACTGACTGACTGACTGACTAACTAACTAGAGAAACGAACGACTAACTAACTAACTAACTAACTAACTGACTGACTGACTGACTGACTGATTGACTGACTGACTGACTAACTAACTAGAGAAACGAGCGACTAACTAACTAGAGAAACGAGCGACTAACTGACTGACTGACTAACTGACTGACTGACTGACTGACTGACTGACTGACTAACTAACTAACTAGAGAAACGAACGAC